TTTCCTTAGAGCCTTTTGAGGATACCCCTAGTATTGCCCATTTTTACAACTTTTTAAAAATTGATTGATTCTACTAGCTGGAAAACAAATTGAAACAACAAAATTCTGAAATCTTACCTTACAGTACTAAGTTAGCTTTTTTTCTGTTAAATTATTACTTTTGCTTTTTTCTAATTTTGATCTTTAGCTTCTTCAACAAATTGCTGGTCATCTTTATTTCTATATCACCGAACAATCATTGTTACCAATATATCCTTATTGCTTGTTTTTCAGTTCTCAAGTATTTGGTTTATTCACCAGTAAATGTGATTCACAAATTTCATCTTGTCATATCAATGTTATCTTTTTCTCCAGTCTTCTCTCTTTTTTTTCTACAACTTTTCTTCTAATTAGATAATAATAATAAATATAAATATAATAATAATAACTGACAATTGGAGTAGTGGTTCGATTTATCTTAATCACAGTACTGGATCTCAAATGTGTGCATAGACATTTTAATCTGTGGATCCATAATCTGAAACTTTATTAAAACAGGGAGAATGTGTTCCCTCTCTTAGCATTTTAGCAGTGCTAGATGAGACAATGCTAGTACCATTTTAGGAAAGTACCCAAGATACCCAAATTTGCCTTAAGCATTTCTTGCTAACATTTTAAGTTATTGCTATTACTTCTGTTCATTATTTGCAAGTTTATACTACGCCTAGATATTTTATAAAAATGTATATATCAATTGTAAATCTCTCAAAGCTATGACTGTGTCTCCCTTTTACAGACAATGTATTATAGCTGTTGTTTCATCATTACAAACTGGCTTTCATAAGATTCTCACACATAAACTGCATTCAACAGCCAGCTCGGAGGAAAGCAATTCCATGCCTGTATAGGTTTGAAAAACAAGGTTCTCATGTTTTTATGATGTCGATCTAATGATCCCTTTTATAAGTTTCACCTATAATTATTAGGTATATACAGCATGTATCTGAAGTATTTTAAAGCAGGGCAAGTATTCCCATGGAAGTCACCAGGATCTTGCATGTAGAATACGGAAACAGGTTAGGGAAATATTACTACCACGTACCAGGCATGTGAATTTGGAAATAAACTTCACCCAACATGTATTGTCTTCATCTGTAAAAATTATGTGAACAGTTATGATACATGCCATAGCATATATTCATGTATTGATTTATTCCTTGAAACGGTAGTTCAACAAACATGCATCTATATATACCAGAAGCTTTGTGAGTAAAAACAGAAACAAAATTAATCTCTCATTCATAGAAAAATCTGCATTTTTTAAAAGTGACTGTCAATGAATGGATTAATGCTCTAGGAAAAAGTAACTATTTCTGATAGTTTTTAAGTGCCTTGACAAAAATTCATCATGCTGTATAAAAGAGTGTAGGACAGGAGGAGGGACCTCGCTTTGGTCAGGTAATATCTATGAAGTAGATGTTATTAGAAATGGAGACTGATAGCTTTATTCTTCCCTATCATTATCCAATTATTGACTGTAAAGATATTCCCTGTATATCTTTATTGAAGTGACTTTGGCATTAAATTTAGCATTTGACTTTTGAGAAGCTGATTTGCACTTTGTATACTCCATACAACATGCATTGGTTTGAGATAGAGACTGAATTAGGGAGTTCAAATTCTAATCCCACAAAGTTGAAAATATTCTGTGCCATATTAGTGTAATATTGAGAAAATAGCTAAGTTTATGACAACAAAAACCTTTAACATATTGGCTGATTTTATGTTAAAATATTATTTTTAAATATTTCTCCTCATTAATAAAAATTTGAGTTGTTTTTTCCTAAGCTATTTGTCTCTATATATTTTTAGAAAATCGGGGGCAAAAAATCCTTTTTTTGTGTCTGTATTAGTTTATTTTACATTGCTAACTGTTTGAGAATTCCTGTTTTTACTTGGTTAAATGGAATACTTGTAATGATGCCATAGTTTGTTTCTCTAAAACAACAGTCATTTTCATTGTCCTCTAGTAGACAGCTACACTTAAGGAGTTAAGTGTTAAGACCACATATGAATATACAAAACTCAGGATTACTGAATAAAGCATAGAGTATATAGAATTCAAATCACTTTTTATTAACATTGGGTTTGCCGCGCCAGCACGACAGCAGAAATGGTCTGAGCGAAGGACGTCAGGATTAAAGCACACACTTCTTGGTCAGCAAGCAAAGGCACCCTTTATTTTTCTCTCCTTCCCTATTTATACCCTTCAGCATGGAGCCTGGGGCTGGGGGTAGGCGGAAGTGCTCAGCAAGTGCATCAATAACATGCGACAATAACATGGGGATCAAAGAACAGTCA